GTGTGCTTTTATATTTACAGAGAATAAAAAAAACCATAAAATAGGTGTCGAGCCCGAAAAACAGCAATAATAAATACGAGAACTCGTCGAGTTGCATCGAAAAAACATAATCCTACATTTTAAGAAGTCATTTTTTGGTAAAACATTTAAAAATATCCGTCTTTTGAAATTAAGCAAAAATCCGTGAAATTTTTCAAAAGGTCGTAGCTATCATACTGTCAAATTTACAAACTTACCCAGTTTTTTCCACCGAAAGGCTAAGCATTAATTGTTGTTTTCTTCTCATCAGTATACTTGTAAGAAAAAAGTGTGTGACGGTTTTTTCAAAATTTTGTTTCGTTGCTGAGAAAATTCATTTTTTCTAAATCAGAGGCCAGAAAGTCAGAATTCGCCCGTCATTCTCAATTTTCTTCGACTGAACTCAACTTCTACGCAACAAAAATATCATATTCAGAATCAGGATCAAAAGCTGAGTCGTCTAATATGTATTTCTATCCTATCTGACTAGTTTAATTTTTTTCGAATCTTCACGTTGAGAAATTACCGCGACTTTTACCCCAAACTGAAAATCAACTAAAAGCTTTGAAGTACTCATTAGGTGACTCAGGTTTTGATCCAGAGTCTGAAACTGATATGTTTGTTACGTAGAAGTTGAGTTCAGTCGAAGAAAGTTGAGAATGACGGGCGAATTCTGACTTTCTGGCCTCTGATTTAGAAAAAATGAATTTTCTCAAAATTTTCAAAAAAAACGGAACGAAAGCTTCAAAAGATGGATATTTTTAGATGTTTTACGAAAAAATGGCTTCTTAAAATGTAGAATTGTGTTTTTCCGATGCAACTCGACGAGTTCTCGCATTTATTATTTTGCTCATCGTTTATCGGCTTGTCCACCTAATGGTCTTCTTCGTTTCAGGAGTTTGCGTGAAATTTTTTTTCCTATGACACACATCATTAAAACCCACTTTTTCACGCTGATCACTAATCAGAGGTCGAAAATTAAAAATCTCAATTTTAAAGTGGTTTTTGAACTGCAAAACCTACTTTAAAATTAAAATTATCAAATTTTGAGATCGGATTCGAAATCGGAATGTATCAAAACCTTCATTCACATGAGAGAGCTTCTTCAGTTCAGTAAAATACATCTGCGAAAATGGACGCCTTTGAGAGCTCGAAGGCCTTTTTCCAATAGAAGTCAAAAATCAGGAAAAGAGTTTGCACCCTTAATTCGAGTGAGGTTCATCAGCATTTCGTCCGGTCAACCGACTGTATCCCGTGAAATTTCTCCCGGTGAAACTTCACAATGGGAAGTAATCACCGCATATGGAACTACGAAGAAAGATGAAATTCCATTACGGACGTAGTTCTGCTCTTTTTTCCGATCCAGACATCTTCATACAAAATCAATTAGATATTCTGAAAACCTGAAGAAAATTCTACAAGTTTCATACAAACGAGGTCTTCGGGTGATGTCTAATTTTAGAGAAATTATCAAAGTTCTAAAAGCTCCGAAAAAACCCGTCCGTTTTTAGAAATTCCGTTACGGCCTTCATTTTGCCTATAGCTTTTATCAACTGAATGAAATCAGCTCAAAATTTTCTTTGTAGTAGTACCAGATGGGATACACATTTGATGCAAATTTTACTTTTATCTATTCCGTGCTTACCGAGATAGAGGGCGCACAAGTTAGACAAATGAAATTTCGTTACATTTGAACAGGCCGTTATGCGAATTCTAGTAGCTGTAATAATAGCAAATAGTTTTTGAGATCATTACCTTTATATTTTTGAAAAAACTTGTTTTTGGTATCAAAACAGCAAAAATTTCCTAGCTTATTGCGGTGTGGCACAAATAAGACGATCGTAGAAATGATTTGTGTGCATCACGGGCTTATACGAGATACAATGTCGCCAAACATAGTAGCTTAAAGTAACGATTTTGTTTTGATATTTTCGCATAGGAACTCAAATGAAGTATTTTTCGACCTATATATTTCGACTAAGCGGCCACTTTTCTACAAGACGCTTAAGCAGAAAAAGTCCAAACGCTTTCTAAAATTAAAGTATGTGTGAAAAAATGAATTAATTAACCAACGGCGGCGTCAAAGTCTTACACATTTTAAAATGAAAGTTGTATATCACGCAGATGAAAGCAGTTAATGAGCTGTTTTATTTAGCAGAGGTAGATAATGATAAGACAAAGAAACAAAAATGTTAAAAAAATTTCGCTCGACAGAAAAAGTTATTCTCATTTTACATGTACAAGAAAGCAAGAAAAATAAAGTACTCTGTTTGAACGAGAAAAAGAGGAAAGAAGCCAGAATTGAAAGAAGAATTAATGATTACATATCAGAAATTTTTTCTTTTGCGAGCTTTCGCTCTCTCCGAGAGCATCATCAGACAATTTTTTTATTAAAATTTCGTTATTATTTACATCTACTAACGAAATTTTAATAAAAAAATTGTCTGATGATGCTCTCGGAGAGAGCGAAAGCTCGCAAAAGAAAAAATTTCTTATATGTAATCATCTATATACTGCAGTTTATAAAAAAACACTATATTATTAAAAACTGATATAAGAAGAATTAAATGTGTTTAAGTTAAATAGTGTTTACGTTCACCAAGTACTTACTGTGCTTCTTTCATTATAAAACGAAGAGCAGCACAGTGACGCTTTTTATATTTAGATAACAACTTTTACAATGGGTTGTATTGCTCTGTGTGGTGACTGGACATTGCCAGAATTACAGTCGGGAATGCCTCGAACAGAAGCTGTGTTACCAATGGCTGAGTTGGTGCATGGTGGTGTAATTAAGTTGGCTGGTCTTGGAAGCATATTTAATTCAAATTCTTTACTTGATCAATCATGGTTGAACAACCGAATGACCATTGATGAATATCGTTATGCAATTAACTATGTTAATCAAACTGTGCTACAATCGATGGTTGGTCAACCAAAAGCTATTTCACGTTCGACTCTGTCTGCACATGAATGGGGAAAAGCTCAAGCTGCCAGTTTTGCTATTCAACAATTAAATCAACAGTATTCTCTACGTAGTATTCAATTTACATTCGAACAAAGTCAAGGAGAAACTGACGCTATTGCTAAGAAGATAAAATTTGGACCTGGTATCGAATTAGAAGCAAATAGCTTTATTTATATTAAATTTCAGTAACTCGCCTTAAATTTTAATAAACTAGTTTTATTCCTAAGGCGTCGCTACTTCAAAAGTTTAGCAAAAAGTTCGTGCTTGAGAAAATTCATTTTTTCTAAATCAGAGGCCAGAAAGTCAGAATTCGCCCGTCATTCTCAATTTTCTTCGACTGAACTCAACTTCTACGTAACAAAAATATCATATTCAGAATCAGAAGTAGAAACAGAAATACATATTAGACGACTCATCTTTTGATCCTGATTCTGAATATGATATTTTTGTTACGTAGAACGGGCGAATTCTGACTTTCTCGCCTCTGATTTAGAAAAAATGAATTTTCTCAGCAGCGAAACAAAATTTTGAAAAAACCGTCACACACTTTTTTCTTACAAGTATACTGATGAGAAGAAAACAACAATTAATGTTTAGCCTTTGATGGAAAAAACTTGGTAAGTTTGTAAAGGAGGGGGGCGTATTTGATCAGAAAACGGCCGCTCATTCTTTTGCCTTATTTTGACTGGACTTCTGTCGAAAAGACATTTGCACACATTGCCCAGTTGTTCTTATGGAAAATAAGCTCAAAATACGTATTTAACCTTGGCCGTTTTGAGATTCCATCATAGAACGTCGTTCTTAGAAAAAGTAACATTCTTGAAAAATCCAGCATACGTTTCCCACAGACCTTGGTATGAAAAGATAGCCAGTGAAAGACTGAATAAAATACTCTATGAAGCTAGCTTCTACAAGAGGCAAATTGCAGGTATCAGAGATGTTTTAAGTACTTCTCTCGCCATATGCAAACGAGGATGCAACTTGTATTTGGTATAGAAACATAGCCCTTGATCTGCTCTACAAAATTTTATATAAAGAACCTTTAACCATCATTGACCGAGTCACTTATAGTTTCTACAAGAGACAAATTGTACTTAAAAAGACGATATCAGCGATGTTTTAAGTACTTTTTTCTCCATATAAAAACAATGATCCGGCTTGTATTTGATATAGAAAAATATCCACTGAAAAACTAAATAAAATGGTATATGAACCATAGTTATATACCATATTACTAAAGAGAAATGGTTTATTTTCAAGCATTCCCTATCTAGCGACTATGCTTGAGTAATCAAATTTTCCCATTTTCTCCCATAAGCAAGAGAGGATGCAACTAGTCTTTAGCATAGAAAAATAGCTCTTGGAAAGCTGTATAATATTTTGAGTAAACTAACTCAACATACCATTGGCTCAGTCCATTATAATTTAAATACGAGAAAAATCAAAAAAATGCACTCATATTTCAAACCGGTCCAACACAAGCCGATGATTATCCAGCAGTACGTCGTTTCAATCAAAATCGGTTAAAGAATTTGTTTGAAAAGGTAAATCTCTAGACCTATATCTTGTTTTCTTCTATAGCAATGTTCTGTGTATATAGTCACAGCTGCAGAGAAGTCGATTGGTGATGATGATGAAGATGATATGAATCATGATAAGAAGTAATTATCAAATTCTGTTTTGTTGTTCCAGTTTGTGATTATTATTTGTAATTCTAGTAGTGGTGATGATGAAGCCAATAAAGAAAAGAAAACAGATACAACTTTAAAACTGAAAATGTTTTTTGTTTTTTTATTCATCAAGACTGTGAAAACTGTAGATTAGAAAATACTCGTTCTGTGAAGATAAATAAAATAAAATACAGCATCTTCAATTAGTTTCATTGGAAAAAGTCAAGTTTCTTCAACCGGAATATATAGAGAGACATCTCTTTTCGGAAACAATCGTCTCTATCTTAATCCAGAAGGGTTGCGTTTAAGTTAGTTTTAACTCTAGTTTTCAAACAGATTTAACTAACCACTAATAAAATGTCTGCTTCAGATTGACCTGAACCATAAGTTTTTTGAAATAATCTTACATCTTTTTAATTGATATCCTTTGACAAATATTTTTTTGGTTTAGGTCGACATAAACCAGAATCCTTTAATTTATATCGACATAATCCAAAATATTTGCCAAATGATATAATTAATCCTTTAAAGCTCAATGGTCATTGACATTATCATTATGAGAAACTGAGGAAGCATTGTTTGAAAAAACCAGTCCTACGTCGGTTGTAGACTATTAAATTGGCTATCGAATGGTAAAAAACATATTTTGTCTGTGTTTTATGCTGGTCGAAATATTTAAATTTTAAAACGAAGAATATTTCGAGAAAATTAATTTTTTTTAATTTAATAGTTTAGGAAAGGCTTTTTATTCAACAATTTTTCTAAAATATGTAGAGAGTTGGCCCTTTCAAATTCTATTAGCTGAAGAAATTATTGTTTAAACTGTTAGGCTGTTGTTGGTACAAAACAAAAGATCATATTTTGCTGGGATTTTGGGCTCGTTTCTTGGTCTTGGGTTTCTAACAAGAATTTTGGAAAAAAGCGTAAGAAAGCCATATCGAGGTCTCACATGTTCCATTTTTGGAAGTGGTTGACCCAAAACCAAGTATTAAAGCCTTGGGAACTTACAGGGTTAAAAAGATGTAAGATTATTTCAAAAGTGCCTATGCCTATGCTTCAAGGCAATCTGAAGTAGAGACATTTTATTAGTGGTTAGTTAAACCTGTTTGAAAACTACAGTTAAAAATCCAGCTTAATCCACGGAGACATTTTTCGAATAAAACCGCGGTTAATCCCGGGTTTTTTTCTCTCACCGCGGTTTCTCTGTAGCAAACCGCGATGTCATTCCGAAAAACGGGGTTAACCGCGGTAAGGACAAACCGCGATTTCTCTGATCCAAACTGCGGTTTGAAAAACTGATGAAAACTACGGTTTTGAGAAGTCGCGTTTTGATCGAATAAAGTTGCGGTGGTGCCACCGGCAAAAACAGCGGTTTCAAAGGGATCCAGTTTAGTGAGAATGAACCGTGGTATATGAAACGACGCTTTCTTACGATTTTATATACCTCGGTAAACTCGATCTAAACGGCGGTCTGTGAATACCGCTCAGCGTAGCGGTTTCTTAAACCACGATGTTTACAATTTAAACTTCGGTTTATCTTCACCACGCTTTTTAATGATTTCTAGACCGCGGTTTCCGTCAATAAGACTGGTTGGATGATGCGCGTTCTCCACCCGACTGAACAGTGCGGTTCGTATCAGCAAACGAAATACTAGAATCGCTTTTTTATCTGTTTTTTATCGCCACGAAGATGTCGTATCAGGTGTGTCGCCAGGGATGCCAGATCTTCTGATTCTGACAGAAAATTTCTGATTTTTTGAACTTTTTCTTCCTAATTTCTACTCTTTTTCCTCAAAGGCCTATTGATTTTTCGTTTTTGAACGCCTTTTCTCTGAGGTCTTTCAGATTTTCTTGCTTTGGATCTGATATCCTGGTCATCTCTCACACGTTTCTTACTTAAAACACTTAAATCGGTAAGATGTAACAGCAGTTTTGATCATTGAATAAATAACCCGAGATGGCTCAATGGAAACATGTTGGACAAGCAAATCAAAGGTAAGGAGTTCGAATCTCACACAACGACTATGAAAGATTGGTGGTTTCAGGTAGGCTAACCGCAGTGTAATAGCAGCAACACCCGCGGTGTATGGATGCAGTGGTAAGAACAGGGGCAACCGTGATCAGAGCTATAGAAACAAATGTAGAATGAAGAAAGAGAGAAGGACCGAAAACGAACAGATATCGACAATAACATCAAGAAAATCGTTTTTGTAAAAAAAGCGCTTGAAACCGCGGTATGAAAAACCGCGATTTCGGTCGGTCTGTAAAAACCTAATAAACGGTCTGATTCCCGCGGTGTATTTAAACCGGCAAAAGCTGCGGACTTTTATACCGCGGTTAACCGTGGTTTTATTCAAAAAATTTCTCCGTGGAAAACGCACAAGCCATCCAAACTGTGATTTAAAAAAGATTTCCAAAGTGATTTGTTTAAGAAAAGATGTTTTAAGTTTCTTTTATTTATTAATATGTATTATCTGAACGTATCTGAAACCGTGAACTTTTATCTACCAGGAAGAAGTTAAGATTTAGCGTGAAAAAATCGGAAACGATTTGCTCGCCTCATTTTTGTGACAGTTTAATCACAGTATGATAAACACTTTTTGGATGAAACGAGGCCAAGTTAATGTATTTTTAGACGATCGGTCCGATAGTATTAACATTTTAAATGAATTATAAAACTAAAAATCTTTTGAAGTGTATACATGAGTCTGCAAAATTAGAGAAGCTTCCCAGTACAATTACAGTTGACACTCTCTATGTTTTACAATCAAACTTAAACTCAAAAGGTAATTCTTACGACTATTTTCAACGATACTTACCTCTCTGCTATATTTAGACGTGTGAAGATTCGATAATTTCAAATGGAAAAACTATGGGATAAAAACCTTGAAAACTGATGACATTCCGATTTTCAAAACTCATTATTATGTCTCGGAAAATGAATTAAACAAAGATCTACCATGGAATGAAAAATTCCAAAAAAAGGTTTCTATCTTGATCAAGGATCCGAGCATTGCTGTCGTCTATTACACTGGTGAGTGTAGAAAGCCATTATGGTTTGCACGTCAATATGTGATTTATTCCTAGGAAATATTGCAAACGCTGTGATGAATGAGAAGCCTACCGTTTCAATCATGAAAACGATTGATGAACAATTGAAACACGTTGAAGCCAACAGAGTCTATCAGAATTTTATTGCAAACAATGAAGCGGTAATAACAACAATCAACAAAAAAACTGTACAAAATCGTCGAAATGAAGTTCTCCAACACTTACGTTTATCACATGAGGAAATGTACAGTCTCTACTTGATTGGCTCCCAATTTCCAAATGTTGTCCACCGTCTGATCCATCTTCCAAAATTAATCGTGGTATTTGGCAACAGTGAAATGATTGTCATTTTTAACAAATTGTTACTGTCGTCAAGAGAAAAAATTATTTTATCGTACGATACCACGTTTAACGTATGCGACGGCTATGTGAGGTATAAGAAACAAGTCTTTCAATTTCTTTTCTATT